TTTTGGCATGAAACTGTGGTATTCTTAGGCTACATTGTTTCCGGTGATTGAATTAGAATTTACACTCAGAAAATAGAGGCAGTGTAGAATTGACCTAGACCCACATCTCCATATAATATTAGGAGTTTCTTGGGGTTGATGTAACAACCCAAATGGAGTTGTGAGTGGCACCCACACTTCACCTCCTAGGTGGGAGAACCAACAAATTTAACCCTAACTTACAAAATACAAGCATAATGTGAAAGCTCAAAATCTTACTAAATATCATTTTCCAAAACCTGAAAGTCATCACATCAAGGACATCTAATCTCAAAATACTAAGTCTAAGAATATCAAATACACCAGAATAAAAGAATAAAATGATATGTATCCATAAAAATAGGACATCATGTCATGACCGAGAGAATCCAATACAAGCTTGAAGTAATAGCTCACCTTAGAACCTAATATGCTGGAGACTGACTAGAGTTGAGGGAAAGTTAAAGTCACTGGTACACTCACTGCACTCCATAAACTGAAAACAAAGAAAAGCACAAGTAGGGTTCAGTACGGGACAACGTGTACTAAGTAGGTATCATCGACCAACCTAAACAAGAAACTAATATACAATGAATAATAGTATGGACTCAAATATAGCACTTAACAGGTGATAAGCAACAAACAACATGAACCACTGTCAACAATACTAAAGTAAGTATGTAATAAGTCAACAATATCAAGATCATCCATGAGGACTCATGCCTCCAACTAAACCATTTGGGACTTGAGTTCTTTGAGATTGACTACATTCCGTTAATTCAACATGTTTTTTCCTTTAATACTATCGTGTCAGAACGTAACACTTTGATCCAATTATACCGTGTTAAAACGTTACACTCCAATCCAAAAATACTGTGTTAGAACGTGACAATCTGATCCAAGAATACTATGTCAGAATGTGACACTTCGATCCAAGAACATCGTGTCGAAACGTGACACTCCTATCCAAGAATTTTGTGTTGGAACATGACACTTCAATCCAAGAATACCGTGTCAAAACATGACACTCCGATCCAATTATATCGTGTCAAAACATGACACTCCTATCAAATAATACCATTAATTTATCACTTATTATCACCACTTTCTATTCATTGATAATACTTCAACAATCCTTCTTTATTCAAGGCATCACTTCGATAAAGAGGGTTCAAAAATATAAATTCCATGGTCTCAGGATTTCAGATCAATCACAAAACACACAACCAAGCTACATGACCACACTATCAAGTACATAGAAAACTTCACAATATCATTCAATGTTTATCAATCACGACTAAGAGTTTACTATCAAATAGCATAAACGATAACCTACTTCCACCTAAGAGTTGAAGTCAAGCAAGCTACTTCCTCAATTTTTTCCTATCCTCAATGCCTCGAAACGTTTTCAATCCGTAGATATTCCATCAAACTTGTCGGCGGTGCTAAGAACCAAGAAGATGCGGTGCATTCTATTTGTATTCTGATAACCAAAAAATACAACCCTTCTTTCTTTTATTTAATTGATTTATATATATGTATAAATTATGGATTAATAAATATTAAATCCTATTAATTTTAGTGTTATCTTCTTTAACCACCCATTAAATAATTATTAAAACTACCCCATGAAATTCATAAATGTAGTTATGAGTAGTTCAAAATACCTATTTAGAATCTATCGAAATAGTCTTTTATGCAATGAAAAACTCTAGTAATCAAAACGACCAAATGAATCGGTACAGTTGGATATCATAGAAGGTTCGTAGAGGGGTTCTCATCTATTTTGTCCTCTTTGACCATGTTAGCTTAGAAAATATTTACGTTTCAATGATCTGAAGCTTGTGAGAAAATTTTTCAGGAATTGAAAAATAGGTTGACTACTGCCTCAATATTGACCTTACCAGAAGGTTCTCAACGTTTTGTCGTATATTGTAATCCGTCTAGAGTTGGTTTGGCAAAATCATAGCTTATGTCTTTAGACAATTAAAAGTTCTTAAGTCTTCATTGTTGCATATCAACGTATTAACATGAGTTATGAGCGCAAAATAGCCATTGAGGACACTAAACCATTGAATAGTAAGTCCTAAATGAGTTGAAATTCCTAATTCATGAGAGAGAAAATAGGAAAGATGGATAATTGAAAAATATGATGCCTAATATTAAGCGTAAAAATACACTAATCGAAAGATATACTTTTAAATTGAAAAATAGTTATTAAATTGATATTATAGCAGTGAATTACAGATTTATTAAACTTGAAAGATATACTTTTAAATTAAAAAATAGCTATTAAATAGATATTATAACAGTGAATTATAAATTTATTAAACTATAGTCATATATAACAAATAATTACACAGCACATGTTATCTTCTTATGTAATTTTTCCTTCTTTAATTTCAATTAATACTAATTCAGGTTAAATTGGAAACAATTATTTAATTATTTCTTAACAACAAGTATTTTGAAATAATAGTTTTTAATAAACATGACAATAAGAAAAGCAGTTGTATTATTATGAAGTCATAGAATAGTGATTTTGCTGGCAATATAAAAGTTAGTAGTTGTGTTTTTGGCTCTTGACTTTGAGGATTATCATGAAACCCGAGAAATGACAGGTCAGCATTGACACGTCATTAATAGTTTGACCTAATAATGATATCTTCTTCAACATGTGACAAATCAGCCGTCCAAGAAATTGCTGCTTTTTTTGCCTCCATTTCTGTGATTCATTTTAAGCATCCCACAAATCATTACTACAACAACTACTTTATTCAACTTTAGAGGAGATCTTTATTTTCTTTTCAAAATTTTATTTAAGCATTTTCTAATAATTTTATATACTCTTTCTTGACAAAATTTTATTAACCAATTTGCTTAATTACATAATACTATAATTTTTTAAATATATATTATAGCCGCATATTAGAAGAGGAGAGAGGCGAGCGAGACTAGAAGATGTGAGTGAGATTAGGAGAGGGAGGAGAGAGGCGAGAGGCAAGAGAGGTTGGATACATGTGGTATCCATTGTTATCAGGTTATATCACGAATGTACTCGATATAATTGATTTGTATGTTGTATTCATTTTAGGAGGAAACAAATGAACAAAATTAAGAGAGGAAAGAGAGAGCATAAATACATGTTGTTTCCGTTTCATCACGAATACAACTGATGCAGAATACAAATACAAATATAATTGTCTAAATCAATTGATTTGTACCGTATATTGAATATACTTGTATCAATAGTATTAACGAACAAAATTTGTGCATGATTGACAGAATAAAAGTTTTAATAATACAGTGATACATAACACGTATATAGTTGATACATAATACAAAATATAATTGATATAAAATAACAAAAATACAATCGTCATATTTTTGTGGAATAGTTTTTGGGTTGCAATGGTTTGGGCGAGTGTGAGAGGGGGCAAGAGGGAGGGACAGAAAGAGGCGAGGGAGACAAAGGGAGAGAAGAGAGAAATTTGTTATTAAACTCTACATATAGCTACAAATTATAATGACATAATACATACCCTAAACTTCACTTCAAATTTCAATTTTTGACCTCTAACTTTCATAATGCACAAACATGCACCTTAACTATACAACTTTTAAATAAATAAACAAATGAGTCCTACATGACACAATACATGTAGGACACCACATAGAACAAAAAATGACATATAAGATGATATGTACGACATGTGTGTCTATTTGTTCAACTTTATACAAGTTTAATTGCATACTTGTGCACACCCAAAGTTACAGGACATAAATGTGATTCGAAACCAAGTTAAAGGGCATATTTATGTATTATGTCAATTATAATATTTTGAACTATAATGATTCTAAGTACGTATCACATATTTGTCTTGTCATATACTTTTCCTTCTAAAAGTTATTTGGGTTAACATTTTTTTTTCGTTTATAATATATAATTTACAGGTAACTCTCCATCCAAAATAGGATTTTAATTTTGGAATTAAGGAAAATTAACTATAAAAATACATGTGACCAGAAAATATATATATATATATATATATATATATATATATATATATATATTTTCTGGTCACATGTATATTGTCGGTAGAAAGGGGCAAATTTTGGTATCAACTTGATGATAATAAAGGCTGTAATAATGAAAATATTAAAAAGAAAAAAGAAACTGAAGACTTTTTTTGCTTTATTGTTGTGTTCATATTTTGTTTATATTGATATTTTTGTTTGTCATACAAGAATAATATTAAGGAGAATTACTCAATTAGCACGTGCAGTTTTTGGCTTAATTATTTGTTGACCAATGAGGTAATTTTTTCTAAATAAAACTTGCCAGAACACGAAGGAAAAGAGTTGAGGGTCCAACAATTATATTAAACAATGAAAATTAAAAGAAAACATAAATGCATGGTTTTTGTTATACATTATGTTAATTAAATTCAATCTCTATTGGTTAGGTTCTTGTCCAGTTCAAACTTGATAACCTTTCACTTCTAATTTAATGTATGCCTTATATGTATCCTTACTAGGAGTTCTTTGGTGTAAGATATAATGTATGATAATTTTAAAGATAAAATGTATAATCTTTTATTCTGTATTTGATTAGACATAAGACAATCATGAGATTATTTATATTTCAGCTATAGAAATAAATTATTATATGTACATGGTGAAATTAATAACATATCCTACTGTAATTTATTCGGGGAAAATTTCGATAGTAGCGAAATCAGATTTTTCAATGAGAGGTTTAAAATTTAAAAAAATAGACACATGTAGTAGTTGAAAGGGATTCGACATCTAATATATACCTAAAAATATATTTTAATCATATACACAATAATACAATTTTCTGGCGAATGGGCAACAAAAAGGTGTCATTCAAGTCTAATATAACTTGTTCTAACCGAATGAAGATGATAAAACCTCAAACAAAAAATGATAAGTTGTCAAAAGAATTCATGGGGGCCGACCCACAGGTGGAGGGGTCCTGCTAGAGTAGCTAGGGAGCAAAATAAAACGGGCTAATAAGAGTTTATTTAATAACACTATAAATAGCAATGGATTAGCCTCATTTCCTTGTACCTCAATTTCCCAACCATATTCAATCCTCCTCCAATTTAAGTAATTAACTAGTACAACACCATTCACCACCAAAATTAAAATGGCTATTGAATATCATCATTTGCCATTTCTATTCCTTGTTTTTCTTGCATGTGTACAACACTCTTATGAACTCGGAGTTTATACTGGTTGGAAGAATGCTCATGCAACATTCTACGGTGGTTCTGATGCTTCCGGCACCATGGGTATGTATATATTTATGTATAGGTAACATTTAAGGCCTCTTATTAAAATTTATTTTTGTTGTTGCATTCATGCACAGGAGGAGCATGTGGATACGGAAACTTGTACAGCCAAGGTTATGGTACAAATACTGCAGCTTTGAGCACTTCACTGTTTAATAGTGGGTTGAGTTGTGGATCTTGCTATGAACTCAAGTGCAATGTCAATGCTGACCCTCGATGGTGTCGACGTGGAACTATTACTGTCACGGCTACTAACTTTTGCCCACCAAACTATGCCCTGGCTAATAACAATGGTGGCTGGTGTAATCCTCCTCTTAGACACTTTGATTTGGCTCAGCCTGCTTTTTTAAAAATTGCTCTATATAGAGCTGGCATTGTCCCTGTCATCTATAGAAGGTATTAGTATGAAATTGTCTTTAAATTGGTAGTTACAACTTTTACACCATCAACTTCTTTTTCCATAGACCCTTTAATGTGGCAAAATTAATTCATTTTTGACTAATCTTCTTTTATTTTCTTTTTTTCTTATATTAAAACCTCTTGAGAAAAGATTTATATTATCAATTAAAAATTTTGTTCATCAATATGTGTCATTTGCATTTTTGAGAAAAAGTTTATCTATCTCATTTTTGTCAACTGATAACGGTTTCAATTTTGCAAAATTTATTTCACACGCGGTCAATTATGATTCCATCATGTCATTAGTTAATTATTTTTGTTAAAAAAGACTTAAATATGTCAACAAACTTTGAGAAAATGACTCATAATGCTATTAGTTTTAAGTTTGGTTCATCTATGTGAATTAGTTAACAACTAATGACATGGATAAGTCTTTTCTCAATCCTAAATAGCATATATGAACCAAACTTTTGGCACATGATATAGATGAATTTCTTCACAAAGTTTGATGTCATATTTGAGCGTTTTCCCTAGGAAACTAATTAAAACATGATCTTAAGCGGCAATTTTAACTATTATAACTTAATTGCCGCTAAATATACATATTTTTTAAAAAACAATTAGTCTTTTCAAATGTTACTAAAGCCTATAGTTAAACTGGATCCAATACTAATGAGCGTACAGATATTAGCGCTTTTTTTTAACGTGGTACAACACATTATGTTGTCTCTAAAGGAGATTTTGTTATGGTATGGCAGGGTCCCTTGCATGAAGAAAGGAGGAATGAGATTCACCATTAATGGTCATTCCTACTTCAACCTAGTGTTGATAACAAACGTTGGAGGTGCAGGAGACATTCGATCAGTGTCCATAAAGGGATCAAAAACAGGGTGGCAAAAGATGTCACGAAATTGGGGTCAAAATTGGCAGAGTCATTCATACCTTAATGGCCAAAGTCTTTCTTTCAAAGTAATAGCTAGTGATGGAAGGATAGTCACTACTTACAATGTTGCTCCAACTAATTGGCAATTTGGACAAACTTTTCAAGGAGGTCAATTCTAAGACAAAGTTAATTACTCCATATGTTCTAAGACATGAATTTAATTCAAGGGGTCTTCATTTTTCAAACAATATGTATGAAGTTATTTGTCACACAAAAAAAATAATTTAAGATGATAATCAAAAGTGTCTACCACTCTGTTGATTTATCGTCACACAAATATACAAGCACTTGGCAGGAATTACAACAAATGAAACAAGTTGGCATTTATTATGTAGAAGTGTGTTTATGTCATCTAATGTTAATTAATGTGAATATATTACTATTACGTCGTCCTTTTTTAGGTTTCCTATGTTTTTTTCGAGAGACAAACGATATGAATTTTGATTTAGTTTTAAGATGTATTTTTTCATTATATCGATATGAAAAATGTTGCAATTTATAATACTTTTCGTATAGTTTTTGAATATCTATAATTATTATTTTGAATTATCAAATTAATGTATTAAATTTAACTTTGAAATTTAATTATCAAATTTATTCGCGGAAAGCACAACATGACAACTAAAAAAAGCCGGGAGTTATTTTTTTTAGATTTGGTATTCGAGAACTAGAAATAATAATGAATGTGTTTCTACGAGTTTTGAGAACTTTCTTCTTCGATATCTATATCGAAGTTCTGCTAAAAATCATCTGTTTAGACAGAAGTGACGTATAAGTCATTAGACTAGGTCATTTTTTGACAAAATAGGAGATCATTAGGTTATTTTTTGACAAAATAGGAGATGATGAGTGACATTTTCTGCAAAACTTCAAGACAAAAGACTGTTGTGCAGCAAAATTTGAGAAATTTACCCATCCAAAACCACCAAGTATATAGATTCAACAACAACAAAAAAGACCAATTCTTTGGGATCCTTCCTTTCTTCAAACGGTAAGAAAAAAAGATAGAATCAGGTCGATTCCTGAAATGCCTTATATTGGGGTTGAAACAAAGTGAGTACACAAGAACACCAATATAATTCACCATCTCTCCCTTTCTAACTAATAATTTAACAAAGAATACTTCAATCTCAAAACAATTTTCCCTTTATCAACACCAAGTTTTCCACCTGTGACAACCCAATGACCCGGAGGATCTCGAGGTCCCTTGCTCATCTCCGTCATGTCAACAAATTTTGCCAACTTATTGCCAATAAAATTCTGTCCTGGAATTGAACTTTCATTGCCATTGCTATCAGCCTGTTTCCTTAACTTGTCATTCGGGGTGTGATCCCACAACGATCTTCTAATAGTGCAGCCCGGTAGCCTTGAATACAAGAGCCTCATATACAAGACGTTTCTCGAACCAAAATCCCAGACCCCAAGCTGAGCTCCTGTGACTATGTATACACCTGAAAGATCTCCTATGAAAGTTTCCGGGCTCTCAATTGGTGCACTACTCACATGTGAGAAGTTCTTCCATTTCACTGCTTCGAACCATCTACTGTCTTGTTCTTCAGGACCCTGCCACTTTGGAGCCCCAATTGCTATATGACTTTCCCAGTATGGTTGGAGGATCCTAGGAAGAGAAACAAGATGCTGAAGATAGATGCATAGTCGATTAACCTTCGACCCTTCAAGATATAGTTGCAAGCCGGTCACGGGCTTACGTCCCACTGACACCTGCAGTGGATCAAAACCAAGAGCAGAAGTCAGGCCTTTGAAAATGAGACCGCCAGACACATAATGATAAACGCTTTAGTTCATCTATCATCCAGATTATACGTGTAGCATCAACCAGTAAAATTATATTTAGATCGAAAGACATTAACGTACTTGTTCAAGGTTAACAAAAAGCTTTTGCCCCATCATGCTAAACTGAAGCGATGGGCAAACAGGTTCCTTTCTATGCTGATTAGGAAGTTTGTCATGTACAGGAGCCCATACTCTCGGGACCTGAAACTCTAAGAAATATCTAAGCTCCTCGATTTGAGGTTTGTCTGCAAGAATTCATGCAACTTGGATTACTTGTCACCAACAAAAACAACGAAGCTCACTGCTTTTGTACATGTCTTTAAAGGATCAAGTGTCTTACATTCAAGATAAAGACTTATAGCCCGTGCCAAATAATCCCTCCCTTTAACCCCTTCAAGGAGGAGTATGATAGGAACAAACGACATCTCAATAACGTCTGGAGAAGATCTAATAGTATGCGCCCATTGAGTATGGCTTTGTTCCAGATCATCCCCTCCCCTTCTTCTGCAACTGACTGTAACATCCTGCATGATATACAATCAAAAGAACGTAAAACCTCAATGCCCCGTCGATATTCAGAAACATTAGTGTTGTGAGGCAATGTTTAATGAAATCAATAATAACGAAAAAGAAAAAATACAGAATTTAACATGGGGGAAGTGAAGGAAATTCACGTCATGCCACCAACTCTAAACTCTTATTATTTCTTAATGAAAGATGATACAAATACACCAAGTCATGTTTATATAGGCTGCGAAAAAACCAAATCCTGGACTGTTTAACATGTGCTCCAAGCAATTGTCTAAGTAATTCCGGACTACTTTAAGAAAATTTCAAGCAAGACTAACGTGCAGCGGTAGTCAGGCCCACAAACATAACAGTTAGAAAAGTTCACACTGTCAGAGCAAACTCTTTCTATGTAATCAGTCAATACAACCATCAACAAAATTTACAAACAATGAGCCAGTAGTAGCTAGAGCTCTACAAGAAAATTGACACTCAAAGACTTAATCCTCCAAATGTTTTATGTTGGACTGTCTGTCTCGCTCTCACTCGAACACACAGACAGACACACAAAACTTCCCTATTCCCCTTTTTTTTCCTTTGTTGCTTCATTCATCTAGCTGGGACAGAGTATGTGATTCATGTGAGACTACTACCTAGTTTGAAAAACAATCTTGTCATTCCACCAAATATATATAGTCTACATAGGATACAGATACATACAGGCTAGACGCAGCACAAAAGCTTTTACTTTGGATCTCGAGGAAAAAAGTATTTCATTACAACATAAAGTTACAACAACATATCATGTAACCATTCAATTTTTTTACCATTTTTCATGCTTAATTTAATTAAGTATTCATCCTCTAATATATATAGGCTAGCATATTTCACCCTCAATAGTACAACATATTTGACAACTGACACACTGAATTATTTCCTCTGCTCATAATCCTAAAGTTATCCCATCGAAGCTGACAAGATTTGAAAAGTTACAAAGAAAATGGAAGAGGAGAAGGTAAAATACCTCTTTTCCATTTCCGGGAATATATGGCGCACTAGTAGGTTGCGGATATATCCCCTGATTATTGAAAATTGATGGATCACCAGCCTGCTAAATTAAACAAAAGGAAGAATCAGAACAGAAACATAAGAGTATATCTCAAAGGGTGAAACAGACTATATAAACCGTAATAAAAATAAAGGTTCTCAGAGAGATTGAAAACAAAGAAATATATGGAACTAGCATTAACCTTGTATTTCAATAAACCTGAACTTGTAAGGCTTCCTGTGCTGGAGAATCTCTGATTTCCGATGTCTTGAACGTAATTTTTTATTTCTACTGTGGATAGAGGTGATGATATATGCTGTTTAACGTAAATTACATCCTTTCCACCGATAGTTACAGATGTAATTACATGTGTTCCAAAATTCTCAATGAAGCTGTAAGACACAGAAGTAACCCTTGCCTTAGATGATAACAGAAGCTCTTGTAAAGGTACTTACACGTTAACTATAGACATTTGTAACAAAAAACAATGAAGATGAATTCCAACCTTGCCAGTGCTAGCGGATCCCACGATGTTGGCACAGCTCTTTTAACGTCGTCCCGTAAAACAAGAGGGGAAGTCATGAGTTGAAGATTAGAAAGTGGTATGAAAAATCCATCCATACAAAGCGTCTTTGTACTCGCGGTATCTATATTCTTTGAACCAGTATAACTGAATGCAACATTGAAGCTACCAAGAGGAGCATGGCCTGGTAGATTAGCCTTTTTATTAAAATATTCCACCATCTGCAATCAACAATTATCAAATGCATTAGGAAGGAAAAGTTCAAGAAACTGGATTATCAGATACTACAAATCAACAAAACGCGAGTATTACCCTCAACTAAGTTTCAATTAGAATGTTTGAAAGTACAAGTAAAGGTAAATGAAATATAGAATGAGGCTGTGAAAATTATAGTTCACGGATTATTTCCAAGAAATATGACTTATACAGAAAGAAAGGAAAACCATCTCGATATAGAATTTACATGAAGAGAGCCAATGATATTGATGGGAAAGATGAAAAAAACATGAATGTGTATGTGTTCTGTTTCCGCAAGTGAACGACTTCTTTGAGAACATATTTTCTTCCTATCATCTCGAGATTACAATGTACAAATATACCATCATAGCATGTTTCTCTTAACCAAAAAAAATGAGCAGATAAGGTAATGTTCATATATTTCGGCCATAGTACCATTTACATCCATTACAATCATGTGGTAGAAAGATGAGGTGTAATCGTCTAGTCCCTAACAAACTGTTCTCATGGAACTTGACCACTATATAAGCCTTTTCAGTATACCATCTAACTAACACAGAAAGCTCTGAAGATAACGCCATCGAAAGATTTAAATATCACATTTGCACATCCACCCTTCCTCCTCCCGTCTGTTATGTATATGATGATTATATTGATTTCTTTAAGGACTTATGCTAATTATATTTTTCTACTTGTGCAACTTTTCCTCCCAAATACAAGCCGGGGATAATGTTATTGAGGTTAGCTTAACGGGATTCACCTAGGTCACCTTTTATCATCAACTGATCATATCTAATTTGAGTTTATATGTATACAAAGCAGCGATTTGCAGGTTATTAATGTTTGACCTCAATATGGATACAATGCAAATCCTTCCTCGATGAGGAAAAAATTGAAAAATAAAATATTCATATTACATTTACAGATTTGTGAAACACAAATGTGTTACCACTAATCTAATGGCACCACGCCAACAAATCTGGTTAAATGTTTTTTGTTCGGCTCATCTCTACCACAGGCCTAATCAAGAGACTGTTTCTCCTCAAGTCATACAACAAAACAGCAGCATGCACAACATAAATACCGGAAATGTTCGTAACTAACTTTAACTGGCAATTGGCCTAAACAAACAGCCTTTTTTGCCTAAAATAACTACAATAACGGTAGTAGCACAATCCATACAAAAAATACACATAAGTACCATTTACTGACAAAAGGGTGCAAGATGAGATTACTTTTCTTTCTCAGAAAAGCAAAAAAGGATAAAATGGAGATCAACTTCAACCAAAGAATCATTCAAGGTTGCAACTTGAGCATAGCATGAAGTATCGAGACTACTGATCAAAACAATTAAACGGATGCACCCTATCATAATGTTCAATGTTTCCGATTTCAAACATGAGACTGCAATCTTAGAGCACTTCTTTTTAATCGAGTTAGTTTCATAGACGCCACTCAACTAACAGTTTACTCAACTAATTATAATCATCTTAGAAAGTCACTCGACTTTGATTTGTAATAGAAAAGTCACTCAACAATTGTCATTTCTCCTACAATTCAAGCAACATTTTCCGCAAATATTGCTGAGGTAGAATTTTTTATAAACACAATTTATTTTCAAAAACTATTTATTCTAATCAACTACTAAATTGATCCGATTTTTTATTTTTCAAAATTGTCTTCCGAATGAATTTCTGAGATAACTAATATTAGTTGATTGACGTTTATATTACAAAAAATAAATAAGTTGAATGACTAAAAAGCACGACAAATATTTATTTCATAAGCTAATAATCCTTGAATTCTCTCTACAAATTTGCACAATGAAAATAGCTAACATCATTTAACTCAAAAAAAAAAGAAGGCATATTTGTGTATCAATTTGACTATAAATGGTAACTAGACATAAATTAACATACCAAAATCCAAAACAAGTTTGGTTTCTAACAACATTGAATTGCTATTAGATTTTGAGTAAATTAAAAACACAAAAACATGATACATACATACCTCATTATAAGAGCAAACATTAGTTCCATGGCGTCCAACAGATTCTTGAAAGTTGCTAATATCTTTTGAAACATTTTGCACAATAACATCATCATATAACCAAAGATCACTTGTATTTTCTTCATTAATTTCTACAACCCTAGACCCACCCATTCCCTTACAATATAACAACCTTGTATCATAATTTACATCAAAACCCCTTCCAAGTGCCTGCACTCCATTTATTACTGTATGAATTGCTGTTTTTTCCTCCATTAACAAAAATTAGCTTCAATCCAAAACAAAAAATTCAAAAAAATATGAAGACTAAACAAAACATTTACCCTATCTATACATAAACATAAATTTGTGTATATATATATAGTTTTAATAACACTTTATTTACTCTACTTTTGTTGTCTGTATTTCAGTAATCTAATTCTAACATTTATGTCCAAAAATAGGCATCGACTGTTACTTTGGGAGAAATGATTTACCTTACTTTCAATCTGAACCGTTGATTAGTCTAATTGTATAAATTTTGATGTGATCGGACGGCTCACAAGACGTACGCGTGAGTGGGACTTTGACTTATCATATTCAAAACTCTTTTCAGTTGTCTTTACTCATCTAGGCCACATTTATCCCTAATTCAAATTCAAACTTTGATCGAAGAAAAAGGAAAATTACAATCAATTAACCATAAAACAAATTTTACATATAAAAAGTCTTATTTGTAGAGTAAACAGGTATTCAAATTTTCCTGTTTGACTTATACAATGCAGAATCAAATTTTATTTTAAAAAAAGGAGTAAAACACTAATTAGAGTTGACCAAAAATGACAAACTTATTTCTGTTTTAAAAAGTGAATATTTGCATTTAATTTTGTTTTATCATACTTCTTCAATTTCTCAGTAATTGAACTGATAGAGACATTTTTTATTTATCAAATTAACTTACTTGATTCATTTTCAAGACTTACTTTACATAGTCCGGGAATTGGCGACTTACCCATAAGTGAATTTGGCACTAGATATTCCAAAAATGGGGACTATCAAGTCAATATAATAGACATTTTCAGAATGTTCTTTTAATTTTACTTTTTATTAATTAGTATCGGAATTAGTTATTAATTAATGTTTACTTGTTTAATTATTTTAATCATAAATTTGACAATAATTAATAAAAATAAAAACAAAAAGTTATACATAATTTATTTATTAGTCTTCTTTTCTTAAAAGATGTAAAACACCTCAACAATTTAATTAATTTGAAATCGATGAAGTACTAACTAAAGTCGACCAAACATGAACCAAATCAAATTTCCTGTTTTTGAAAAGTGAACATTTGCATTTAATTTTGTTTTATCAACAGTAATTAGAGTTGGCCAAACAACGACAAAAGTAATAGAAAGTTGGAGATGGAGATTTGTAAACATTTACTAAGAGTTGACCTTTGGACCTTTCCTTCCCACTTGAAATTTATTAGTAGTAACAACACTATACAACAATAGTTGTTTACTATATTAAAATTATGAAACAAATTTGACCAGAAAATTTGATCAGAATTTGACCAGAATGGTATTTTATCTGTGTTATTTTACCTTTTAAAGCATTTTTAACCATTTAACTTTAATAACTTTTAACTAAAAATGGAAAAAAGATTAATTTATTTTAAAATAAAAAAGATATAACAGACTTATAAATTTTCTGACCAGATTCTGGCCAAATTTTTTGATCATTTAGCATTACCTCTGATGAGTCCACGATTAGGACTCATTCAAAGCTTTATATTAATAGAGTTAGTGTCCTCAAATGCATGTTTTGCGCCAATAAATGATGTAAAGTGCCTAATTTTCAGGCATTGAGATTTATGAATGAAACATGGACACTAATGTGCAAAAAAAAAAAAAAAAACAAAGCAAGCTTAAGGAATGAAGAAATGAAGACTTGATGATCACCGATGGCACTCGGTGAATCTCCAAATCTCTACGACACCGTCTAAAGTTACAGAATGTTGGAGCTAAACTGGGATAACTTCGGCAAGCAACAGTTCCATTCGGTGTATCGTCGATTAGGTCGCCAAAAGTGCCGAAAAAAATGTTACAAGTGCTGATGGGTGAGATAGAAGAAAAAAAGGTAACTCGTTGAATAATTGGAGGATTTCAATTTGGATCGCCTAAAGTTACAATAGCTAGACCAAAAAGAAGAGAAAAATGAAAGGCGGGAACAATCGGCGAGTCGCCGAACTGTCAGCAAAGCCCGAGTAACCTCGCCGAGTGGTTTCAAGCAATTACACTTCAGACTTATTTAAAATTAATTTTAGCTGGAGATGGAAAGGTATTCAAAAATGTGAGGAACAAAAAGACAAAGAGTGATTTTAGCAAGACTTTTTTTTAGAGATTTTATAAAAGAAGATATTCTTAGTTGATTTTAACTTCAAATTTTCATTAGACCCAGGTATGTAAGACATGATGAATATTGATTTTCATATTTTTACTATGATTTGCTATACCCTCTTCTTGGGGTTTTGACTATGAGACTAATTGTTGAGTTTTACTAAGTGGGTGTCATTGATTTGTAAACAATGGTGTTAACTTAAAGTGGGTCTAATTTGTTGTTGTGTTTTGAGATCATCTTGCATGATTATTGTCATTAGTTAAGTGTTTTGTCATTGCTCGAGAGAAGAACAAAGCCAAAGTAGCAAGTTGACATCCTTAGTAGTGGGTCACCACGATTTCAGCTTGAGAAAGTGAAACATGAAACCTATCCTTTGTATCTAGCTTGAGAAAGTGGATTTGATTAAGACAAGGGCTAGTCATCACTCGTCTAGTGTTGACGTTCGAGAGAATTCATCAAAGATAAGGTAATTTTTCGAGAGAAAATTGCTTTACACATAGTCCTACTTACCCACGATAATTTATCCCATTATGAACATCAATGTTCTCCACTAAAGTGAACTCAATAATTGGTTGGTCAATTCCTCAAGTGTTACCTCATTATTTGATTTCTTTGTGTCGAGTTAGCCTTGTTTGGATGATTATAATCTGAAATTCAGAGTTTAAACTAAAAAATGTGTAGTATGTGTTCAGTTGAATAGTCTATCGTCAAATTATTGTAAATAAATTCGAAGAAAAAATTAATCTTTGTGGGATGGAGCCCAACTCATTTAATTGGATTATATACTGACTAACAATCATTGTCACTTAGAATTGGAAGAAGTATCATTGAAACATTAATCAAAATGATATCATTGCCCAGGAGTAGCGCTACTTAGAATTCTTAGATCGAAGATTTTGCGTGAATTGTTAGATGTAGTTGAATTAGGTATGGCTGGATTGTGTAGTGTTGGCTATATTACATAGAAGCAAAAATAAGCGAGAAAGAGGTGAATGGTAGTCAAGAAGGTCATCGGGACGACATCAATGATATTAATATTGCTTATAACTCTACTCAAACGGGTGGGATGGGTATAATTTGCATACCACAAGCTGATGGAAATGCAATAGTTGAGTTACTAGCCAACTCTTCATCTCCTACAATTGAAAGGACTCTATTAAGGGATAGACCCCAAAGATCAGCATGAGCATATACGAATTTTTACAGAGATGTGCATCCCCTTTTTTTATATATGTCGCAAAAGTCCATCGAACTGTTTATTTTCACTATCATTGATAGTGGTGGCTAATAAATGGTTGGATGAGTTACCAAACAACTCCATCACGCCATGGGGGGAGTTGGTTATAGTATTCAACACATTATTCTTTCCTTCCATAAAAAATGATGAAGCTTAGAGATAACATTCAAGCTTTTAAGCAAAGGAAGGGCGAACTAATTCATGAAACGTGGATGAGGCTTAAGAAAATCTTACTTAAATGCCCAAATCATGGGTTGCCAAATGATTTACTACTATAATACTTCTACAAGAGTCTTGATTAGGTTGATAAAGGGGTGGTTGATAAATTGGTACGAGCGGGAATAATGTCACAATCATTTGAGGTAATTTCTTCTTGATGACATGACCAAAATAAATTAAGCATGGTACACCCAAGAAAACCAAGTTTCTCCATTTTGTTTTAGAATGAAATAATAACAAATTGATAAAGAGAGATATGAAGACATTAAGAAAATGCTAACCCAAATGGCTTCATTACAAAAACATATGAAGGAGACACGTGGAGTGTTTAAAGTTAAGAAGGGTTCTTTTTCCTAATACTCAAAGCTGGGAAGAATCAAGGTTAGAACTCTAGGAGATACGAGGAGGGTTTCCACCCACGGTATTCATAGCCGGGTGTAAATCAAGGTTTGAACTATCAAAAATGAGAAGAGGAAAGAAGATACTGTTAAGATTGGGGAAAGCAAATGCCTATTGGCAAAGAGAAGAAGACTATGAAACCAGAATCACTCAAGTGGGAGCCCAAGATCGAGAGGAAGTGATAGTAGCCCCCTAGTCAATGATCTACTATCGCACATCCTTTATAAAGTGGAGGGTGAAGACGACTTGTTAAAAGGAATGAAAAATGACTTTTTATGATTGAACAATAAAGTTAACTCTTATACAGATGCAATTAAGACACTTGAAGGACAACAAAGTTTACTTGCAACACAATTTTAACCAGGAATGGCAACGAAAGATGATGATAGAAGACTAGCATTGGTTACTCGTAGCGGAAAGGTAGCAACAGGAAATGTGTCGGGCAATGAAAAAATCAAGTGCATGAAAAATACAAAAGTAAAGAGTAAGAAGAGACACAAAAAGAAATGGAGAAACACATTTACAGCCCAAAAGTTATGCAACCTTTGCTCAAAATATCGCCTCCATTCCCCCAACGTCTCAAGAAGAAGAATGAGGATAAGAAGTTCAAGATATTTCTATCGGTGTTCAAGTCTCTATCAATGAACCTCCTCTCATTGAAGCATTATTGAAAATGTTGGGTTATGCCAAGTTCATGAAGGAGTTGGTCACTAAGAGAAGGAGCTTGGATTTAGAGATGATCGAGGTTTCTCATAATTGAAGTGCAATCATGACAAATGAGATGATAAAAAAGAGATATAATCCCAGAGCATTCACCATTCTTTGCATCATTGACATGCTTCAGTTCGCGAAATCCCTATGCGATTTAGGATATAACATTAACCTAATGTCGTACACAATTTATAAACAAATTCGGTTGGAGGAACCAAACACCACAACAATGAGATTTTTGATGGTGAACCGATCAATCAAACATCTTGTGGGAATATTGTATGACCTCTTGGTAAAGGTTGACCAATTTATCTTCTCGACTGACTTTGTCATTCTAGATTGTAAAATAAATGCTGAGATTCCCATTATTTTAGGAAGACCATTCTTGGAAACCAGAAGAGCATTGATAGATGTTGAGAGCGGATAATTAAAAATTTGGGTAAATAAAGATGAAGTGACCTTTAACATTTGTA